AGAATATTGTTGGCCAGTTGCTATGAAAAAGCCCATATATTCTTTCATATTTAAGTCATTCTTAAATATGAATACTTTTTTTTTCCAAAGGTCATGTCTATACGAAAGAAAAAAAAGGGATTATTTAAGCTATGGCTAGAATAGCAGAATCGATGAGGAATAAAATAAACGCCACAATTTCTAATCCGGTGTTTCTCAACCTTGGCAACTTGCAGATGTCAGGACTTTAACTCCCAGAATTCCCCAGCCAGCATTCGCTGGCTGGGGAATTCTGGGAGTTGAAGTCCGGACATCTTCAAGTTGCCAAGGTTGAGAAACACCGGATTAGAAATTGTGGCGTTTATTTTATTCCTCATCGATTCTGCTATTCTAGCCATAGCTTAAATAATCCCTTTTTTTTCTTTCGTATAGACATGACCTTTGGAAAAAAAAAGTATTCATATTTAAGAATGACTTAAATATGAAAGAATATATGGGCTTTTTCATAGCAACTGGCCAACAATATTCTAGTGGTGTGGGGAGAGAGATCATTTTAATAGGGAAATATATTTCAGATGGTTTTTTTCCCCCCCTTAGGGAGGCTCACAGCCAAACAGAGAAAAGGAGAAGAGACAAAATGAACAACCTGATTGAAGAATTGTCGGCTATGATACCTCAATGCAATCCGGTGGCTCGTAAACTGGATAAACTCACTGTCTTAAGAATGGCTGTGCAGCATTTAAAGTCGATGAAAGGCAAGTATGAAATATAATCAAAGATTCTGAACGGTGCTTCAAAAGCTCTCCTTTTGAATCATCATCAATAATTTTAAACAGCCCCATAATCCCTTGCATCAGGGTGGAGTCTGGGCAACTGAATGAAGTTTGAGTGTTTACTGGCCAGATGCTTTCCTGTCGCCAGAGCGGAGTTTTATTCAGCAGATATATTCTCATTGAGAAATATCTGCCTCTACCTAGGATCGAACTCACAGCCTCCTGATTGTGAGGCGAGAGCTCCACCTCTAGACCACCCCTCCACTAAAAGCTGTCCCTTTGAATCAGCTACTCTTTATTTTCTCAGTCGTTATAAAAAAACTGCTTTAAAGTTGGCGATCCAGTTCAGATGGTGAAAGCTACAATCATTCTTCCCGCACTCTGTCGATACTGTGCAAAGGGGGGTGGAAAAGAGGCGGGTTGATCCCAGTTTGGCCCGGATTGGGCAAACCAGTAGTAGCAGCGGTGGGAGGCTCCGCCCACCCACCCGGACGCTTCTACGCATGCGCAGAAGCAAAAAACAAGATGGCGGCACATGTAGAACCAGTTCGGGGGCATGGCCAGCCGAGTTACTACCTACTCAGCCGAACTGGCCTGAACTGGTAGGAACCTACCTTTAGCATGAGCGAGCACACACGGGGGTGTGCCTAAACCAGTAGTAAAAATATTGCCAACCCACCACTGGGTTGGATCAATGTTTAACTCACCTTGCAGTGAGCGTGACTAAATCATAATACTCCTGGCATCTTAACTAATGAATGAAATAGGGCAGCGGCTTTCATCCTACCCATCTGTTTTGTTCTTGGCTTCATGTATACATGGCTGTAAAAATCTCACATGGGTTTTCCATAAAAGTGATTTAACTTCATTTAAATTTATTTGGCAGTTGTTACAAGAAAAGTGATTTAGAATGCCACTTCTGAATTCTAATAAGTACTTGTGTTGTGTGTTTCTTTTAGCTAATTTTAGCTCCTCCCTCCCTCCCTTCTCCTCATCTTCCTCCTTTTCCTCCCTCCTTCTGTCCTTCCCTCTTCCTTCCTTCCTCCCTCCCTTCTTTCTCCTCGCCTGCCTGCCTCTCTCCTTCCCTCCCTCTGCCCCTCTACCCCTCCGTCCCTCTCTCCTCCTTCCTTCTTTCCTCCCTTCTCCTCGCTGGCCTGTCTTCCTTTCTCCTTCCCTCCCTCCTTCTCTTCCTTCCTTCCTTCCCTTCCTCCCTCCCTCCATTCCTCTGCTCCACCCTCCTCCTTCCTTACTCCCTCCCTCCCTCTCTTCCTCCCTCCCTCTTCCTTCCCTCCCTCCCTCTCTTCCTCCCTCCCTCTTCCTTCCCTCTCATAGCAATATAGCAGTAGACTTATATACCGCTTCATAGGCCTTTCAGGCCTCTCTAAGCCGTTTACATAGAGTCAGCATATTGTCCCCAACAATCTGGGTCCTCATTTTACCCACCTCGGAAGGGTCCTCATTTTACCCACCTCGTCCTTCCTCCTTCCCTCCCTCTCTCCCTCCCTCCTTATAAACCTAAAATTTATCTCACAACTATTTTGCAGGTTCCACCAGTTCTTACTCAGAAGTGAGGTATAAGCCTTCGTTTTTACAGGACGATGAACTTCAACAACTCATCCTTAAGGTAAATTAAAGGTGGAGAGAAGGACCGGCTATTTCTGCAAACAACAACTATCTTACACAGCAGTGTTTACGCCTGCATAGTCAAGATCCCAGTGTCAAAACCATTCATAAACAGATGTGCAAATGTCCCCTTTTCAAGTATGAACAGACTCCTGTGGCTTTAGAGACGCCTCCATTCTGCATCTGGAAATATTCTGAATATGAAAAGTATAACAAGGTTAAAAGAACACATCAGCTGCAGTCAGAATAATATTTCAATTCTTCCTTTTTTTTAAAAAAAAAAATTGGGACAAGCCTTTTTAAACTCCCAAGTCTGGGTGTTTTCACATTTGAAATTTCTTAATTTGTACTCCTCTTATTCTAAAACAAGACTTAAAATAGACGTTGCATCAAATTGGGGCTTTAAAAATGTTCCAATGAAGATGTAAGTCGAATGGAATTTAGTAAGCTCCTTCCTGGAGTCAGTTACAGATTAGTTTTATTTAAGATTTTAACACTATGTAGGGAATAAATATATGAGCTAGACTAAGTCACAAATCAGTTTTAATTGAAAATTTAACACCAAATGCACCAAACTAAGTCATAGATTAGTTTTATTTAAAAATTTAACACTATTTAGGGAATAAATAAATGAGCTGGACTAAGTCACAAATCAATTTTAATTAAAATTTTAATACCATTGAAGGAATAAATAAATGCACCAAACTAAATCACAGATTCGTTTTATTCAAAATTTGAACACTCTTTAAGGAATAAATAAATGAGCTAGACTAAGTCACAGATTAGTTTTAATTAAAACTTTAACCCTATTTAAGGTAAATAAATGATGTAAGCTAAATTACAGATTCGTTTTATTTAAAATTTGAACACTCTCTAAGGAATAAATAAATAAACGAGCTAGACTGTCACAGATTAGTTTTAATTAAAACTTTAACCCTATTTAAGGTAAATAAATGATGTAAGCTAAATTACAGATTCGTTTTATTTAAAATTTGAACACTCTCTAAGGAATAAATAAATAAACGAGCTAGACTGTCACAGATTAGTTTTAATTAAAACTTTAACCCTATTTAAGGTAAATAAATGATGTAAGCTAAATTACAGATTCGTTTTATTTAAAATTTGAACACTCTCTAAGGAATAAATAAATAAACGAGCTAGACTGTCACAGATTAGTTTTAATTACACTGTTAACACTATTTAAGGAATAAAATGAAGTAGATTGTCACAGATTAGCTTTAATTAAAATTTTAACACTATTGAAAGTAAATAAATGTTCTCGGCTAAGTCACAGTTTAGTTTGAGTTAAAATTTGAGTGCCCGTTTAAGGAATAAATAAAAGAACGAAACTGTCAGTTTTAGTTCACATTGTTAAAACTGTTTAAGGAATAAGACAATCGGACTTAATATTAAGTTAAGGAAACCAGGCAGATGTGATCTGTGCTATTTAAAGCACGTACGTGATCAGACTGATTATCCCTATGATATAAACTTCCATGAGGACAACATTGGAAAGTCAAATAACCAAAAAATAAATAAATAAGCCACACCATTAAAATCCCAATTCAAATCCCCCGTAACGAAGGAAGACGGGGAAAAAACGTTGAGTGAAGTTGGCTGGCATTTGAGATCTTGAGCTGTATTTAGTGAGCAAGTAATTAAGAAGATTGCCTTGAATCAGGGGCCCCGAAGGATTTATTTCAGTCACCGCACATCGCATCCCAGCACCACACGTAGAGCTGGCGAGGCTTAAAATATGGAACTTTAAAGCGAGGATAAACCCTATAAATATCCTAGGACATCGTTCTAAAACTCACAATTAGACCAAGTTGAGGAACCGCATTTCTAAGATGCTTCACGACAACCGTATGAAAATGGCGGATTTAGAGCGGATGAAGAGAATTGCATGAAAGTTAGGACGGGTTAAGAATGATAGAAGAATACAGTTGGAAGGGGCCTCGGAGGTCCTCTAGTCCAGCCTCCTGCTGGTGCAGGGGACTCTCTTATCATTTCAGACATAGGGTTGCCCAGTCTCTTTCTACGACCAGGCTTAATAACAGCCTAGTCGTAAGTCGAGGCCTACCTCCTGTGCCTTTTGTTGCTTTGAAGACAGGGATGTCAAACTGAAAGTTTGTGGGCCACAGGCTGCTTAAAACTAGCCTGTGGGACCAACCTCTGGAAATAGCAAAAAATCGCCCTGCGGTGCCCCACATGTGCCTCAGAGACCCGAAAATCATCTGGCCAGTGGGAGACCCGCACGCGGAGCTGAGCTGGGGCCACTGAGAGGGCTCTGCGCACCCCCTGTGGCATGCGTTCCATCGGTTTGCCATCACAGCCTAAATGCGAATGAGAATAATGCCAACATTTCAATCTATCCTGACCTGACTTCTTGCTACACAACTGCCTGCTTGTATCCATTACAGCTTTATATTTGTCTCCTTAATTTGCAGGTCGCCGATGGTTTCCTATTCGTGGTTGGATGCGACCGGGGGAAAATCCTGTTTGTTTCCGAATCCGTTTCCAAGATACTCAATTATGAGCCTGTAGGTAGCCCAGTATTTAAAACCCCTTCTGTCGATAGCTGCAAATTTGCTTTAAAACGTCACATCGGATTCATGGGCCGCTCGGTGACAGCATGGAAATAGTTGATGGGCATTGATTGAAATGAGGTTGTTATAAGGGGCCTTGGGAGGAATGTGAAACTACACTACACGGGCCCTTCTATAAGGACCCATCTCATAAACCTGATAAAATATCCAGGAAACACTGCTCTTCTCTTAAACGTACAATGATCGGATCAGTCCGATGTAGTCTGTTTGAATATGGCTAAATTTTGTTATGCTTAATTAGGCAGCCTTTGACTGACAGGCTCACCGACAGTCACCACCAATTATTAAATTGNTTGCCATAGAGTCTTCTCCTGGCACACTGTGCTTCTCTCCCCCCGCTCCCCTCAACGAAAGCTCCTCTCAAAATTGTGGCGCCGACCGGTGACGGAGCCGCAGCAGAGGGAGGAAAGAGCCACATGCGGCTCCAGAGCCGCAGTTTGCTGACCCCTGCCCTAGGGAATTCTGGGAGTTGAAGTCCACCCATGTTAAGGCGACCAAGTTTGAAAAACACTACTACTTGAAAATAAGAGCATTTATGGCTTCTGGCAAGGTGGGGAAAGGCCTCATCTGCAGCCCTGCATTAAAACGAGACAAGCTAATCCATAAAATGTTTTTGTGTGCCTTTGGCAAAGAACTCCGGCTCTACGGATCAGGGACGATCCATATTTCACGTCGCCACCCATGGGGAAAAAAAAAGCCCAGCGTGAGAACCAGGAAGAAGGGTGCTGGTCCCTATTTGGGATTTTCGTTCTAAGAGGCGGATTGTGGGCTGGTTCATTTGGATAAGTATAGTTTCGGGAGAAGAGCTGAGCTTATGCGTCTACAATGCCTTGTGTGGGCAGCAATTGGGTTGCATTTTCCCTGGGAAATTACAGGAAATAGGAGAGAGAGAGAATTGTCCATGGGTGTGCATTTATCTATCTACCTTTCTTTTTCTTTCTTTCTTTGTCTTTCTCTCTCTCTCTTTCTTTCTCCCTCTCTCTTTTTCCTTTCTCTCTGTTTCTATTTCTCTTTTTCTTTTCTTTCTTCCTTTCTTTTCTCTCTTTTTTCTTTCTTTCCTTCCTTTCTTTTTCTGTCAGTCTTTCTCTCTCTCATCCTTCCTTCCTTCCTTTCTCTCTGTTTCTCTCTTTCTCTGTCTCTCTTTTTTTCTTTCCTTCTTTTCCTTCCTTCCTTTTTCTCTGTCTGTCTCTTTCTTTCTTTCTCTTTCTCTTTCTTTCTCTCCTTCTGTTTCTGTCTGACTCTCTCTCTTTTTCTTTCTCTCTTTCCTTCTTTTCTTCTCTGTCTCTTTTTTTCTTTCTTCCCTTCTTTTCCTTCCTTCCCTTTTCTCTGTCTCTCTCTTTCTTTTGTTCTCTCTTTCTGTTTCTGTCTGACTCTCTCTCTTTTTCTTTCTTTCCTTCTTTTCTTCTTTGTCTCTCTTTTTCTTTCTTTTCTTTCTCTTTCTTTCTCCCTCTCTCTCTTTTCCTGTTTGTTTCTCTTTTTCATTCCTTTCTTCCTTTCTTTTCTCTCTCTTTTCTTTCTTCCCTTCCTTTCTTTTTCTGTGTCTTTCTCTCTCTCATCCTTCCTTCCTTTCTCTCTCTGTTTCTCTCTGTCCCTGTCTCTTTTTTCTTTCCTTCCCTTCTTTTCCTTCCTTCCTTCATTTTTATCTCTGTCTGTCTCTTTCTTTCTTTCTCTTTCTCTCTTTCTTTCTCTCTTTTTGATTCTGTCTGACTCTCTTTTTCTTTCTCTCTTTCCTTTTCTTCTCTCTCTGTCTCTTTTTTCTTTTCTTTCTCTCTGTCTCTGTCTCTCTTTCTCTCTCTGTTTCTCTTTCTCTCTGTCTCACTTTTTCTTTTTCTTTTCATTCTTTTTCTTTCTTTCTTTCTTTCTTTCTTCTGTCTCTTTTTCTCTTTTTCTTTCTTTCTCTCTCTCTCTCTGTGTTTCTCTCTGTCTCTGTCTCACTTTTTCTTTTTCTTTTCTTTCTTTTATCTGTCACTGTCTCTTCCTTCCTTCCTTTTTTCCCTTTCTTTCTTCTCTGTTTCTTTCTTTCCTTTCTTTCTTTTCCCAACATTTCAGAAATGGATCAGAAGCCACTGGAGATAACAATAGTTGTTTTGGGGAGGTCATCAAGAAGCAAAAAACGATCGGGTGTTTCATGGTTTATATCTCCAGGGGCATCAAAGCCAGAGGTTCCCCCCTGTTCTGTAACCTCCAAATGGTAAGGAGGACAGCTTCCATCATCCCCTGCCACAGGCTCCCTGGAAAGGACCGGTGCTGAATTCGAAAGCATCCCACCTTGCATTAGCCCCGTGTATTGTGTAGGGATTCACCCACTGGGGACAAAGGAGGAGATGGAGGAAAATTGCACATCCAGCCCCCCACAAAGCGACTCACCTTGGCAGGAATATATTGGAGTATTTTGTCTGTAGTCACATCTCTCTCGTGCTCCGCTTCAAACCCAAAGATCCCAGCCAGTTTTTTCTTGTTCTCTTGTCTGGAAGGCAATAAAAACAGGGCCACATAAAACATCAAGGAGAGCAAACAAAGGGAATCAGGAAGGCATTAGGGGGGGGGGGGAAGGAGCCATTTATTTTTATCACGGGGCTCATCAAGGTTTGCAACCCACCAACCGTCAACAAGGCCAAAAGAAATTCAGCTTTGCTTTAATGTCTTGTTCAGGTTGGACTATAGAGAGTCTAGGCAGTTTGAAGGGGAGGTGGGAGAAGGGAAGGGAAGAGAGGAGAGGGTAAGGGAGGAAAGGAGAGAGAGGAGAGGAGAGAGGGAAGAGGAGAGGAGAGAAAGGAGGGGAGAAGGGATGGAGGGAAGAGGAGAGAGGTGAAGAGAGGAGAGGGGAAGAGACGAGGGGAGAGAAGGAAAGAGAGGGGAAGAGAGGAGAAGAGAAGGAAGGAGAAAGGAGAGGAGAGAGGGAAAGAGAAGAGAAAAGAGAGGAAGGGAGGAGAGGAGAGAGGGAAAGAGAAGGGAAGAAGAGAGGAGAAAAGGGGAGAGAGAGAAAAGGAGGGAGGGTAGGAGGGGAGGGAGGAAGGAAGGAATTAAATAACTGAATAATAGAGTTGGACAGGACATTGAAGGTCATCTAGTCCAACCCCTGCTCAAGCAGGAGACCCAAGACCATCCTAGACAAATGACTGTCCAATCTCTTCTTGAAAACCTCCAATCACGGAGAATCCACAACTACTGAAGGCAAGCCATTAATTAATTGTCCTGTCAGAAAACTCCTTCTTATTTCTAGTCCTAAAAGAGAAGGAAGGAATAGGATGGAAGGAAGGAAGGAGTGAGAAGGAAGGAAGGAAGGAAGGAAGGAAGGAAGGAAGGAAGGAAGGAAGGAAGGAAGGAAGGAAGGGTCTTAAGACAAAATTGTGACACTGGTCTTAGGGAAGAACAATAGCTTAATTATTTCATACGTGCTGATAGGTATTGCATAATATATTTCCTTATTACTGGCTTAACCTACATTCTGGATTTGTAGTAACCCACTCCACCATAAAACCCAACTCAGCCAACACACACACCTCAATTAAAGTGAAAACTAACCAGTTTTAAGCATACATTGTGCTTTTTGTCCAACCTAGATATGGGCCTGATGCAAATCTATATCTAAAATATAAAACAAGGACGACAGTTTCCCCCCCCCCACTCCCCGTCACTCTGCTAAACTAATCCCCACAACACTGTCAAACTATTTACTAAGACTGTATTACTATTCTTCTCATCCTTCCTATTACCTGTCTCCTCCTACTTACGACAATAGCCTTGTTGCTTGTATCTTTACGATTTAGATTGTTTTATTTAGATTCCTAGTATGGTTTGATTGCTTATTTAATATCCTATAACTATCATTAAGTGTTGTATCTTATGATTCTTGACGAGTGTA